TTCTTTTAATTTTATTCCCTTCTTGAGGGTTTTGCTACTAAACAAATGACTGGTCAGCTTTGTCTGGTAACCTATAGGAGAATCGATAGGGATTGAAAGGGTATGGAGGCAGAGGGAAGGGGTTGTGGTTTCTTTTTTTTTTTTTTCTTTTCTTTTTTCTTGTAGAAGGAGGAAGAAATTCTGGAAATTAAAGGGAAGATTCTAGCACCGCAGATGTAAGATAACACAGAAAATCCCTTGTTCACCAGTAGAAAAAAAATGAGTTCCTGGAAAAGTACAGGATTAATTGCACGCTGGCCTTCAGAATTCTAACTTTAGGCACTTCAAAGAGTCCTTGGTGAAAGACAGGGTCCTCCAGACAGTGATTCAGAGAAAGAACGCAATGCCCATCGCAATGCATAATTGAGGAGGGACCCTGGCGTCACAGGAGGCTAATACAACATCTAGCACCGAGCATAAGCCTCTAAAAGACAGCACAACTCGGCTGCACCAGAAACTTTCCCAAGCCCTGGAATCCCCCTCTTCTCACTCACCCACCAGGTTCATCTAGCTCACAGTTCAAGCTCGTCTCCAAGACGATGAGCCGTATGATAGATCTGGGCAAAACACTCATCCAGACGAGGTGGCAAAGAGACGTCAACCGAAAAAAAACCCCAAACCCCATCAAGGTTACTCTAAGGTGAGGTGCAGCGAAAGCCCACATGCTGAACGGCTGCAAGGGGCGAGTGCCACCGGGCTCTGGGTGCATCGTGTCCTCAGCAAAGCACTGTTGTGACAGCACTGGGGAAGGTGCCAGTGCTGGCTATGACTCAGTGTCCCTTTCATCTGGTCCCCCTCCCCGCAGCGGGGTTTTCTGTTGCTGCTTGCTGCCATGCATTCCTTTTGTCTGCCTGTAATTAGTCTGTTGGCTTTTCTCTTTCTCTCTCCTCATTTTTTTTTTTTTGGGGGGGGTCTGATTCTAATCTACTGTGCCTTAAAATTATTCAGGAAGCTCTAGGGAGATAACCCACATTGATACCATCCCCACTGAGCTCTGAGATGTGGCTTTTGCTGTTTTCTCTCCCTTCCTTGCTCCTGCTCAGCTGTTTTGGAGGAAACTATCCCTGCTCACTGCTCACCCTTTTCCTTCCTCCCTCATAGTCACTTCCCACCTCCCTTTCTGCTCTTCTTGCCCTCCCCTTGTCTTGGACCTCTTGTGAACCCAAAGCACCTGCAGTCTCCTCCGTACATCCCATTGCCAGGCAGCTGATTTCAACAGCTAGCTCTTTGTGAAGCCATGGGATAATGCTGCTGTGGCAATGAGAACCTCCTTCCCAGCCTGCCCCAATCCATGGCTCCTGTCCTTCCATGCCCGTCTGTCTCTCTGTGCCCGGAAATTGTCTGACTGCCTCAAATTGCCTTTCTTCAAATTGCCTTTCAGCTCCCAGCGCTCTACGTCTCCCTCCTCCCTTTGCTTCCGGCTCCCCTCTCTCCTCCTCCTCTACCCACGCACCTTACTTTAATTAGAAATACAATGAAAATGCTTATCACTATGTCTTAATCAGCGAGTCATTCCCCACCAGGTCCAGAAGGAAAACCCCCGTTCCTCCTCGCCTCTTCTGTCTCCCCCACCACCTCCGCAGAAGAAGAGCACGCAGATTAGGAGGAGGACTCGGTGGAAAGGTTGCAGAATGAGGTGAACCTAGAGACCTGGATAAGCTGGAGGAAAGGACCAACAGAAACCTTGTGATATTCAACAAGGACAAATGCTGTGCCTGGGAAGAAAGAGTCCCTGGCTGGGGCTCAGGACCTGGCTGGGGGACAGTGAGATGAGCATGATCTAGCAGCGCGTCCTGGCAGCAAAAAAAGTATCCTGGACTGTGGGAGCATGAGCACAGCCAGGAGATGAATCGTCATGATTATCCCCCTCTATTCAGGACGTATTAGACCATATCTAGCTGCTGCAACCAGGTTTGGGCCCCTTAGTACAAGACATTGGTCAGCTGGAATGAGTTCAGCACAGGCCATTGAGGTGGTCAGGGCTACAGCACTTGGCTGGTACCTGGTGTGGGACCGGGGTTTGTCCATCCTGGAGAAGCAATGGCTTCAGGAGGACCTAACAGCAGTCCCCCCTACCTGTGGGGAGGTTATCAAGGAGATAGAGCCAGGCTTTTCACAGAGGTGGCTGGTGAGAGGACAAGAGACATCAGGCATAAATTGAAATAAGACATTCAGCCTGGGTTTAAGGAAAAAGGTTTTCCCTCTAAGGACAGTCATGCAGTGGAGCAGGTTGCCCAAAGAGGATTGTGCAATCCCCATCCCTGGGGTTTTCAATATCTGAAACCTGAACCACTTCATCTGACCCAGTAGCTGACCCAAGTTAGGGTAGGACGTTGAGCTAGAAATCTCCTGAGGTCCCTTCCAGCCTTAATAATCCTGAGATCCTATGACCTAAGTGCCAAATGAGGCCATTCAGATTCTGATGAATCC